AATCACCGGATATTTAGAGAGGATTTTTGAGGCAACGAAAATGCTGTTGTTTTGCTTTGCTTTGGTCGAATACTTGCGATCTAGTTTCTGTATATCTATCTGCCTTGTTCCTTTCAGATCTTTGTGTGCTTTTTGGCCCGAGATCTTTGTCGCTTGGTTCATTTTGATCTTTTAGTGTTTGGTTGCCAAGAAAATGGCTGGATGTTTAGAGAGGATTTTTGAGGCACCGAGAATGCTGTTGTTTTGCTTTGCTTTGGTCGAATACTTGCGGGTTTAGTTTCTGTATATCTGCCTGTGTTCTTTTTAGATCTCTGTGTGCTTTTTGGCCAGATATCTTTGTCGTTTGGTTCTTTTGATCTTTTAGTGTTTGGTTGCTAAGAAAATCGCAGGAAATTTAGAGAGGATTTTTGAGACAACGAAAATGCTGTTGTTTGGCTTTGCTTTGGTCGAATACTTACGGATGTAGTTTCTGTATATCTTCCTGTGTCGTTTTTAGATCTTTGTGTGCTTTTTGGCCCGAGATCTTTGTCGTTTGGTTGGTGAGAAAATCACAGCAAATTAGGGAGGATTTTTGAGACATTGAAAATGCTACTTACGACTAGTTTCTGGTTTCATAGGCTTTCTTGATTTTCTTTTTAGCAGCCAGCGAGAACTAGTTTACGCGACGTGTTCTTTTTAGATTTACTTTCTATTTTCTTGCTTTATTTTTTTTCCTTTTCAACCAAACAGAAATTAGCAAATTTATAATCAACATACGCTGTTACTATTAATTACCACTGAGTTTCTTTAAATTAATTTTTCTTTAATTTTCTTCGTACTCTGTTACTATTAATTAGCACTGAGTTTGTTTCTTTTCGTTTAAACGGAACCGAAGCAGAAACTGTTCTAGGCAAACGTGCACGTCGAAACACAGCAATTTTCTCTGATTTTTTACTTTTTCTGAGAGGAAAAGCAAATTGAAGTTCGAAATCTTTCGTCGCCATTGTGTTTTCAGCTTTTTGACCGTTGAATTTCTAGTATTTTCTTACCAGAATGGTCTTATTATACCAGTAGGAATAGTTTTCCTTAGTAAATTATTCTAAATGTAGAAGCTATAGTAGTGTCGTCAGAGCTTATGTAACGCTTGTGAATACTATTTTAACAGTAGATGACAAATGCGGCTTTAAATATTGCATTTCATGGTCCATTTTAGGAAACGGATTAAATAATGCATTCATTTCAAGGTAGTAGCATTCTTGTTCGGTTGTCTCTATGCTATGCCAATTTTAAATTCTATCTTTTCTTGACCCTCTGCTAAAAATAGCAACCCAGGAAACCTCCTCGAAGTTTCCTGTCGCCCTGGATCATCGTCCAAATAAACGCCAATTGGAAATTCTGGCCATTAAAAAATTGATACAAAGACAAACAGGGATCGAGCTTTTCTTCCCGTCCCAATTGCCCTGCCCTAAAAAATTGTCATTTGGAAACACTAGGCATTAAAAAATATATACGGATGTTAGGACCCAAGGAATGCAGCATTTTATTATGGATTTAAGTGCACGCGGTTCAAACACGTTATGAGGGATAACTTAAGCTCCTAAGAGCATTTCACTTTGGATCTTTCAGCACCATTGTTTTTAGCTTTTTGTTTTACTTTTCTCGATCGGTCTAGCTTCTCCACAAGCATTACTCTTCTGTGAAGCTTTGATTACTTACCAATAAGAAAAATTAAATTACTGTTCTCACCTGCTTTAGTATGTGCTTTTCACGGAAAATGTTACTGAAAATAGGGCAATCATCAATCATGAAAGTTCAAAGCATTTGTATATTGTAATTTGTAAAAGCTTTGGTGATCAAGAGAATTAAGACATATCTTTTCCTTAGAGACATATTTATCTTTTGAGGGTTGATTTTGTGTCACCAACTTGGATTTCACTTAATATTTAAAACACAACCATTTCGTTATCGTATGGAAAAGGAACCTAAGGAACCTAACATAACGAGGCAAAATCTATTAATGTTTGCTTGCATTTATATGCTTTCCAAATTTCTTCGTGAGGACTGACTTGTTGTTGAAAGAGTTCTGTTGTTGTACTGTACCTTTACTTCACCATGATCATTTCTCCTTTTCTCAGGAAAAAATACGAGTTGTCCTTTATGTTCAGAAAGCAGCTCTGCATTTTATGGATGGTATGAAGTTATTACTTGTAGATCTTAGTGGTCTAAATCCTGCATCTTCATTCCCCAACTGATTTTTGTTAACGTGCAGCCGCTGGCCCTCTTGAATATATGCTCTCTGAAGAGGTCAGAAATGCAAATTTTGGGATTGACCCTGAGGACCTTGCATCTATTGTTCGTGGCCATGATATTAAGCGCCTAAATTTGCATGGTGGAGCTGAAGGGATTGCAAGGAAAGTCTCTGTCTCCCTTAATGAAGGTGTTCGCTCAAGCAACTTAGCAACAAGGCAAACGATCTATGGCTTAAACCGTTTCACAGAGAAAGCTCCAAGAAGCTTCTTAATGTTTGTGTGGGAAGCGCTGCAAGACTTAACACTCATTATCCTTATGATTTGTGCTGTGGTGTCCATAAGTGTAGGAATTGCCACTGAAGGGTGGCCAAAGGGCATGTATGATGGACTAGGAATTATACTTAGTATATTCTTGGTAGTCCTGGTCGCTGCTATTAGTGACTACAAGCAGTCCTTGCAGTTTAGGGATCTTGACAAGGAGAAGAAAAAGATCATTGTTCAAGTTACCAGAGATGGGAGTAGACAAAAGATTCCCATTTATAACTTGGTTGTTGGGGATGTTGTTCATTTAGCTATTGGGGACCAAGTCCCAGCTGATGGAGTTTTCATATCGGGATACAGCTTGCTGGTTGATGAGTCAAGTTTGACAGGCGAAGTTGACCCTGTGAGTATAAATGAAAAACATCCTTTTCTTTCCTCAGGAACCAAAGTTAGAGATGGATCAGGAAAGATGCTGGTAACAGGAGTTGGTATGAGGACTGAATGGGGAAAGTTGATGGAAACACTGACTGAGGGTGGAGATGATGAAACTCCACTTCAAGTGAAGCTGAATGGTGTTGCGACAGTTATTGGTAAGGTTGGTTTGAGTTTTGCGGTGCTTACATTTTTGGTCTTGACGGTGAGATTTCTGGTGGAGAAAGCTCTCAAGAATGAGTTCACTCATTGGTCTTCAAGTGATGCATTGACACTTCTGGACTACTTTGCCACTGCAGTAACTATAATAGTTGTTGCTGTTCCCGAAGGATTACCACTGGCAGTAACACTGAGCCTTGCCTTTGCAATGAAGAAGTTAATGAATGATAGAGCACTGGTAAGGCACCTCTCAGCTTGTGAGACAATGGGTTCTGCCAGTTGTATTTGCACCGATAAGACAGGGACATTAACCACAAACCATATGGTGGTTGAAAGGATATGGATTTGCAACAAAGTTCAAGACATTAGTGGCAACAAGAGCGAAAGCAATTATGAACTGGAAATATCTGAGGGAGCATTGAGCATCCTTTTGCAAGCTATATTTCAAAATACTAGTGGTGAAGTGGTCAAGGAAAAAGAGGGAAAGAACTCTGTTGTGGGAACTCCAACTGAATCCGCACTATTAGAATTTGGCTTGCTATTGGGTGGAGATCATGATGCCCAACAAGGACAGTTCAAGATACTCAAGGTTGAGCCTTTCAATTCGGACAGGAAGAAAATGTCAGTACTTGTGGCTTTTCCTGAAAGTGGTGTGCGAGCTTTTTGTAAAGGGGCATCTGAAATGGTACTGAAGATGTGTGACAATGTTGTTGGCCATAATGGGGAGCCAATTGTTCTAACTGAAGAGCTGGTAAAGAAAACCATGCATATTATTAATGGCTTTGCCCATGCAGCCCTGAGAACTCTATGCTTGGCTTATAAAGATTTAGATGCTAATGCTTCTGCCGATAACATCCCTGGTAGTGGCTACACCTTAATAGCTGTTGTTGGAATCAAAGATCCAGTGCGCCCCGGAGTTAAGGAAGCAGTGCGAACTTGTCTAGCTGCAGGAATCACTGTCCGTATGGTTACTGGTGATAATATAAACACAGCAAAGGCCATAGCTAAAGAATGTGGCATACTTACCCATAATGACAATGCCATTGAAGGACCAGAATTTCGTAAGAAGTCTCTTGATGAGATGAGGGAAATCATACCGAAAATTCAGGTTCTGCCACAAAATTTTAAATTGCCACTTTGCACTTAAAAAGTTTATATATTTCTTAGAATTTTTATGGTGGATTCAGGTAATGGCACGTTCTTCGCCATCAGACAAGCTCACCTTAGTAACCCATCTGAGAAATATGTTTGGAGAGGTTGTTGCAGTGACTGGTGATGGTACCAATGATGCTCCTGCTTTGCACCAGTCAGACATTGGACTTGCCATGGGAATCGCTGGAACAGAGGTTTGTCTGTATACATAATTCTAAGTAATTAGAGAGTGTTTGTATTCTCTTGTCCCATCATCTAATTTTATAGCATGACATAGAAATTTGACTTTTACAGGACTGTTTTTTGCCTTCTATCTCATTCTTCCAGTCTATTATATCAAAATTTTCCTGAGTCGCAGTTTATTTCTCTTGCCTATGATGAAAGTAAAACGAGACTGGCCCTTTGGAAAAAGCATTTCAACATCTAGTTCCAGTTTTCATGTTTTGCAAGAATGCTTGGCTGGACCCCATTAGCTCATGCTCAGCGTTTAATCTTCCTTAAATCTCAGCCTCTTGGTCCTTCTGTAGATTATACATTTCTAATGCATTTTTGAAGAAAAGCTTTTTCACTTGTGTATTAGTTATTATTTTCAAAGAGATTTGCTGAACAGTCTGTTATGTTCTGTGAAGATATCCGCTATTCCGATGTAACATTCTTCTCAAAGTCTTTCCCATATTTCCTACTATTAATAAGCTGATAACATCTTCAGGTTGCTAAAGAAAGTGCAGATGTCGTCATTATGGACGATAATTTTTCAACTATAGTAAACGTAGCAAAGTGGGGACGTGCAGTATATATAAACATCCAGAAGTTCGTGCAATTCCAGTTAACTGTCAATGTCGTTGCTCTGGTGATCAACTTTGCTTCCGCATGCATCTCAGGTGCATTGATTTTTTTTTTTTTTTTTGAACCTAGTCATTCCACATGCCACTATGATTCACTTTTCAATTATCCGATTTTGTAACATTCCACATAACTTTTCAGGATCTGCCCCCCTCACTGCTGTACAGCTGCTTTGGGTCAACATGATCATGGACACCCTCGGTGCCTTAGCACTGGCTACAGAACCTCCCAATGATGAATTGATGAAGAGACCCCCAATTGCCAAGGGTGCCAGTTTTATCACCAAAGCAATGTGGAGAAATATCATTGGTCAGAGTATTTACCAATTGATTGTCCTTGGAATACTCAATTTCGATGGGAAGAGGCTGTTAAGGCTAACCGGTTCAGATGCAACCAAAGTTCTGGACACTGTGATATTCAACTCATTTGTGTTTTGCCAGGTATGATATGGTAACATCACGTTCAACCTATTGCTTTCTTTGAAGAATTTGAAAAATGCATAAACAAGTGCCTAATTGATTATGTTCTCTTTCAGGTGTTCAATGAAATTAACAGCCGTGGTATCGAGAGTATCAACATATTCAAAGGCATGTTTGATAGCTGGATATTCCTCTGTGTGATGGTGTCAACAGTAGCTTTCCAAGCAATCATAGTTGAGTTCCTCGGAACTTTTGCCAACACTGTGCCACTCAGCTGGCAGCTATGGCTGCTGAGCATAGCAATTGGTTCAGTAAGTATGGTAGTTGGAGTAATTCTCAAGTGCATCCCTGTTGAAAGCACACTCAAACCAAGGCCCCATGATGGTTATGAAGCTCTTGCTAGTGGTCCACATGCAGCGTGAGAATTAAATTTCTGAAGAACTTGAAGTGTAATTGACAGGTGATACAACTTTTCCCTCACCTATTACATGATGTTCAATAATTCTCTCTAGAAAAATCTCTTCTACATTTTGAAAAGGAACAACACATCTTAGGATTAATTGCTTTTTTTGCATATAACTTTGCAAAACATAAAGATAGAGCTAGAGTTTTATTACGCTATCCTTCTAGCTCTCACCAAACAAGTAGTACCAATCACTATCCACTGAGAATAATATTCTACCCCGTGAATTTCTCAACCAAATCAAAGAAAGCTTAAAAAAAAAAAAATAGTATATCTATCTAAATCTTCGTTTAGTTTCTCCGTATGCAACAACCCCAAGGACAGTCATTGTGTACCCAGCAATACCTATGAACGTAACGGGGTTTTTGAAGAGAAGTATTGAGATAACAACAGCCACAGCACCTTTTGCGTTGCCTAATACCTGACCATAGATCATCACAAACAAAAATGTGAAGCATGTTAGGCCAGGTGAAAGGAAAGAACAAAAGTTCAAAGCATCATATGACGATTTATATTGTCAAAGAAATGTTCCTCTGGAATCTTAGCAAATTCGTATTGACATAATTTCACAATAAAACACTATAGATAAAAACCAGAGGAGAGTTTAAGCAACATATTGAGTCTGGTATAATTGGTGATGAATAGTTATATCCTATAATTTGTATGAAAGGAGCTAGAGAAGGCAAAAGGATATCAAACCTGGAGTGTTAGTGCGCTTGTGTGTTTAGTCACCAAGAAGTTTAACAAATTTGCAGAATAGGCCATTGTTGAATTAACAAAGAGAAGCAGCCACATATATCTGTGTTTTCTCCCAAGAGATAAGGTTTCTTCTAGTACATTATGCTCCATCATAAGTGTTGCAGGCATTAAGACTATAACTGCAATTGGTGACATGTAGAGCATCAAATTCATCGAGTTCAGCTTTTCTCTGCAAAAGTATAATAACAGGATAAACCAAGTAATTAGGAGAAAAAAATGGAAATGTTCAGAAAAGGAATATCTGTGTTCATCTAGCAGTAGAATTCAACTACTAAATAACATGGTTGATATTAAAATGTTCATGATGTTTCCCGTGGTTCAAAATGTTCGAGAATGACATCAACAATTACAATGAAACATTAATTGACTTGGCTTTTACAACAGCAATGACAATCCAAAATCTATCAAGAATTGCACAAATAGTGTGTGATGATGTATTAAAATAAAGCAATTACCCTTCAGAAGAAAGCAGGATGCCTTGAAGAACAGATTTGAAGGCCCTTGCAGCAGTTGCACTAATGCACATAATGAATCCAAACCAGTGAAAACCTGGTTCCCCCTGCCACCAATGAAACAAATTCAAAGCTTAATTGCGAAAATTCATCGAAGAATTACAGATCTGGCATCACATTACCAAATCTGCACCACTAAAATCCATGGAAACATCAAGTCTTACGCATCAAATCAACAAAATTCACAATTCTAATTACAAAAAAAAAAAGAAAGGAAAAGATTATATAATTCAGTAAAGAAGAGAATACATACCCCACTTGCAATAACCACACCAGCAACAACAGGCACAAGTGCAGCATAGGTAACCCAAGCCTCTCTCTTGAAGGACACCAAGTATGCAAACAAGGCGGTGAAAAACGGTGTGGTGGCACCGACTGCCTGATTGAATGAGACAGCGAGGTACCTGAGGGAAATGTTGCCACCAACGACCGACCCACAAAAGACAACGCTCAAAGTTGCAATCTTGAGGAATTGGCGCCTAGATTTGACCTGTTGGAGAGGCACGACCTTCATGAAAACAATGGAGATGTAGCTGAGGAGGGAACAGGCCGACATATGACACATTGTGAGGAGGATTGGGAACCTGAAGCCATAATTTGAGAGCAGGAACTTGTTCAAGAGGAGGACACCAATGTTTGATGAGTACCAGAGGATGATGAGGGAAGTTATGAAAAGGGTTTGTTTCTTTGAGGAGGAAGATGGTTGTGATGATGACATTTTGTGTTCTTCACGAGGAAATGGAGGAGGAGGTTTGGAATTGGATTTGTTGAGGAAGAAGCCTCATTCGGGACCTTCAATGGAAATTGCATTGGTTTAGGATGAATCTCTCTCTCTGCATTTTTTATAATTAAAAAGTAGTGGTTTTAAAAAATGGCTTTTCTAACTGATGTTTTAAGGCAAATGTTAATATTATAATTAACATATTTTTTATATTATTTAATATTTAAAATATAAATATTATTATTAATTTTATTACTAAAAATTATAAAAATACAAATTAATTTTTATTTTTTAATAAAAATTAGTATTAAAAATATATAATAATTATATTTTAACATATGCCCTCTTAGCATACCTTAAAAAATCTCTAAAATACAATTCCAAGTTAAGACATAGGGAGGTTCAAATTTTATTTCTATAATTATTGAAAATTTTGTTCCTTAAAGGTTCTTTATTCTTGAATGATTTTGTTGGAGTTTTGAGATATTGTGTGTAATGTAAGGTGTAAATGACAAATACCTGAAAATTTAATTAGAAGAGTAGGAATTTGAAATTACATAGTCCTATTTTGGAATAATTTGACTTTTTAAGACTTTTTTAAAAATCAATTATTGAACCTCCCCCAACTTGGAATTATTTTCTTAGAACCACTCTTCTTTGTGGTTGTTGCTTTTTTATATCATCTGCTTTATCATTTTGCAATTTGGAATGGAAACGGGTCTTCATTTTATTTTTTTTAAATGTTACAATTATTGGCGGTTTATTATTTTATACTAGGCTTCGGTTTTCTTCTCTTTTTCATTTTCATTATTTTATATATTGAATTTTTTTATTCAATCATATATTAAAAGTAGTGATATAAAAATAATTTTTTATATAATTTTCACATATTATTAAATGAATAAATACACTTATTACTACTAGTTCTAAATAAATAAATTTAATCACTTAAATAATATATATAATTATATCAAAAAATAATAAAAAAATTGTTCATGAATTATTTTTCTATATTAAATTCAGGTTCAAATGTTGGTGGATAGTCATGGTAATCAATTAATCATAATTTTATTTAAATCTGTTTGTTCTAGCTTTTTTAAAAATAACTATCAATTATTAATTTTCATATAACAAATTAAATAATGTAAATTATAAACAATAATCATTATTAATTGTCAATAATTCCTCCTTTATAAAATGTATTTTAAATTAATTGTTATTTTTAAAGGAAATATACTTTTTTCTTTAATTAAATTTATTGTTATTTTTTAACTTTAATTATTTACCTTATTATTAAAATTTTCTCTTCAAATATTGTTAATCCAATCAAGATTTTAATTTTTTTAAAAACAATATGTTAATTCATTAATTAATAAATATCAATAATTAAATCAATTATTAATTAACAATGATAATTACATAATTCTTATCATTTTAATCAATAAAATAAAATAAATGTATTTAAAAATAATATTTTATGATATTCATAATATTATTAATGGGAATCATATCTTTGTGTGCGTGTATATATATATATATATATATATGTGGTAGAAGTAGGTGTACCTGATCATTACTCGCTATGGTGTGGACCCACCTAAATTTCCGGGGAGCCGTTTCATCACATCACCCACACATTCACCGTCACCTCCTTGACTAGAGTCAACGAATCGGATCAACGGTCACTGTCGCGCCAATTATGCAAGATGGCGAGAATCTCAACGGTGGGCCCCACCTCTCCCACACGTAGTCGGAATGACCGGAGCCCAAATCCATCTCCGCTTTCCACGTGTAACTCCATTTTCCCATTTTACCCTAAAAAAAACCCATAATCCCCCATTCAGTCCCTCCCCCCTACCTCCGTCGCTTTCACTTCCAGTTCCCTTCCTATTCTCCTCTGCACGCATCATTAACAACCCACTGCTCTTCCTTTCTCTCTCTAGAATTCGAGATCTCGAAACCCTAGATAAAAGTTATCAGATTTTGTTTTCTGGTTTCGCCGATGAAGCTCGGTATATCTGCTTCTTCACGCCTTGATTTCTTTGAAATTTTCAGGTACTACTGTTCACGTATAGTCTTCCTTTCATGTTCCGTACTGTTTGGTTTCCGAGAAAATTAAAAAAAAAATCCACATTTCCACTTTCTTTCTCGTTTCCTTTTCCTGGTTTTCCCCCGTTTTTTGTTGTTTTCACTGATTTTGTTGTTTCGTAATATTTGCTTTACTGCAGGACCTAAACAAAGTAAACAAACATTCTACAATGCCTTCTGACCTGTGGGGTCTACCCCCATATGATTTAGGTTGCCTTCACTGTTCTCATATAATCATGATTTGTGAAATGTGAACTACTACTCTGTTCATGGATTTTGGCATTTGATTTATTCAATTTTTTTTTTTTCCAGCTGCAGAAGAAAGCAGCAGCATGCAACCTGAATGGCAATATGACTATCACTTTGGCTATGGGTTTGGTATAACATACTCCCTTCGTCCCAATTTAGTTATCACACTTTTTCTTATTACAATTTTCGAAAAAGTTACAGAATTTTATTAAAACAAGAAAGAGTCTTTTCTTCTGTAGTTGATACTGTATCCGACCCTAAAATAAGAGTTATCTGAAGAAGGAGGGGATAGTTATTAATTATTTGTACAGTTTGATATAGACTGGACACTTATTCCAACAATAAAACATAATTATTATAGGTTAAAATCCCAAATTTACCCCTTCAATTAATAATTAAGTTGAGTAGTGTTCCTTTTCAGGACAAGTAATTATTAAGTTTTGTTAAAGTTGTGATTAGGAAATTTCATTAGGACTAAAAGGTGTAAAAAAAATTTATTAACGCATTATTTAAAATGGAAATTCGCAACTAAATTGGAACATCCATTTATAGAAACTGTGACAATTGGAATGGAGGGTTTGACTGTCTTATCTTAGTCCCATTTTTATAAAGGTTTTTTTTTTTTTTTATCCTTCTTTGTGAATATGCAGATGTGATTGAAGAAGATGCTTTGAATGAGAAATTTTGCCTGCAAGTATTAAGGATATTGATATCAAAAGCTGATGCTGAGATTGATGAGCTTGAAAACCGTTTGGTGTCACTGCAATGCGAACTGGCGTGGGCTGAATATGATGACTGGTCTGTAATTTGTTGCAATGCTTTGAGTAAAAGGATTGATTGCCTTGAAGTTTCAATAAAGTCTTTGAGGAACAAAGACGAGAATGATGTCGAGGTTCATCTGTTGATGCATACGCAACCTGCTGAGAAATTAGGTGATATACTGAAGGTTCTGCTTAAAAGTTATTGCCACAACAAAGATAAGCAGGTTTGGCTATTGAAAAATCTTCTTTGTATCTAAATTGCTGAAAAGATGATTCTACATTGAACCTAAAGATGTCATGCAGGTAGAATTTTTTTGGCTGGAATTATACAGGAAGAGTTAACTGGCTCACACTAAGGGCATAATATATCATTAAATCCATACTTATCTTGTGTTGATGGGAGGCTCGGGTTGATTTCTCACATGACATACCATGAATTGTAATACTCTGTTTTGTTCTGGCTGGAGGAGCAGATAGTGATGTTGAATATTTCCTTCTGTCAAGTGTCAACCAATTGTATTTTGAAAGATTGAGGATTGTATAATACATGTATAACATCGAATGTATTGAAATAGAGGGTTGAGATGTTGTTAATGATTTTACTTGTTTGGGGTGCTTCCTCCCCTGATTATCACTTGTCAGCACATTAATTTTGTCTACATTCTCTTTATTATTTTGTGTTTCTAATACCTGTTCTTTTGCCATTTTGTTTTAAACTGACTCATGACCTCTGTTGCTTTGGTTCTAGAACAAGCAGCCTCTGGATGGTACTGTCTTAGATTCAGGATCTGATTCTATAGGACATGTGGCTGACCGTTTGCTTGAGAGCCAAAAACTGAGTGTCCTTGATTTAAATGTTGCTGCAAAGGAGGAAACACAAAGTCCCTGTATTACTCACACAGAAAACTGTACTACCATAAATACATCTTGCGAGCTTCTGGAGAAGAAATCAAATAGCTCAGAAACAGTGAAGGTACAGTGCCCTGTCCCTGCATGCTTTAACCTATCTTCTAAAATGATTGATCTTATTCTTAGATTATTTTTGGGTGTTAAAATGATTACTTTATTAGTCAGTCTCCATTTACCAATACATAATTGGGAGAGAAGAGAACAAGAAAGGAAAAAGCAGATGAACACATAAGTCTGAAACATTTTATTCCTAATTAGAAATTTAGAATTAAAATGGCTGCTTAATTTCTTTTAATTAGTAATGTTTAGGAGATATGTATTGATAGAAACATAACTGGTTTATTGCCTCCTCTTGACATGTTACTGTTACCATAAAAACTAACAGCTAGACAATACTGATGCCAAAGATCAAATAGAACGTCCTTTGGCACTGGCAGCTGACCGTTCTGGGAAGAACAAAGTTGCAAACAACCATGTCTTAGAAACTACTAGAGGGAAACAGAGAGCCAAAGAGCAGGATTATTCTCCGAAAGACAAAATAGTCATCCAAAGTTCGCCTTCCAAGTCTGCAGGGAAGAGAATGCTTAAGCTTGAAATGGTTAAGGTTAAGGTAAAGGTAATCCTCTTCCTCTCTTGTTTGATTCATTTCAGTTCAAAATCATTGAACAAGACGCATTGTACAGGTTGAAAATTCCAGGGACCATCTGTTTCTGATTCTGAGTTTAATTACAAATGGAGATTGACGTGATGGCCTGCATCCCTATGTTTATATTTTTAATTCTGCCATCCTGATGATTAAAGGAGAAACAATGTGCACTTAAGCCTTTTGAAAATGGCTTTCCTGTTATCTTTTTAAGGTTGTGCTTGCATTTTAATACAACAGCATATAGAAATCAGAGCAAGAAGAAAAACTATTTGTATAATTGTATATATATTTAGTGAGTATTCTAGAAGCAACCGAAAATCAGAAGCTGAAGCTGGTAAATAGTGGTTTTCTCATTCTGGTTTTTCTCTCAATATTATAGAATGATATCGAATAATACAAGGAAAATCTCTTAGGCTTGTACTCTATGTTTTTTTCTCATCACTAATCAGACATTGCTGCTCATACATACATTGCTTTCTAGTTTCTGAAAAGACCCCTTAAGGAAACAACCTTTTGTAGTTTTGTGCTCTCTTAATTCTACAGTGATTATTCATCACCATTTATAGTCTGTTTAGTCTATATTCATCACTATTTAACATTCCTCAAACATGGATGCTCAGGAACATGCAATGGGGTACCTGAACAAGAAGAAGAAATTGAAAGTTTCTGGTTTGAAAATTATAAGTGAAGAAAACCAAGAACAAAGTTCTATATCTACAGAAGATGTTGTTATTTTAGATTCATCACCAATGCCCGTGGAAGAGAGGGTAGATCATGGTAAGAAGGTCAAGGTACTAAAAGTTTTCTCCTTTCAGTTTTAGATCAGCATTTTTATATGCATCAGCTTATAGGTAAAATTAATTATACTGTAATTAATTGTGAGATCAGAGAAATGACCAGTGACTGCCTTTTCTTGTGGGTGCTGTTGCAATTAGCATCTAAATTGCTCTTGGTGGTTCTGTTCTGTTTACAATGTACAGCTTGCGAATACCATTTCCAAAATTCAAGTCTCACGTGCTTGTAACTGTAAACAAACAACTGGCCTTTCTAAGGAGATGAAACAGCTTCGCAAATCTGGTTTTAAAGTTAATGGACATGAAGTCGAAGAGTATCTTGTATTTGTGGATGACAAAGATGCTATATCAAATTCATCCTTGGTTCCTGGATGCAACGGAAGTGTGTCAAAACCGGATAAGGTACAATAAATTCCTTTCGTTCTTATTGGGCTTCTAACATTTAGTACTGACACAATCTAGGAAAAGAAAAATTTATGCTTTCGACAAAGAATTGTATCTTTAAGACTTAATTAATGCTTTGCAGTCGTGAGCCCCAGGTTTTAAGTCTAACTTAATCTTGCAACTTTCATTTTTTGCCTTTTTTGTGTTTGATAATGTGATTTTATCCAAGCAGCCTGCAAGTGCCATGATTAAAATTGAGAGTCCTGATACTTTGAGACATGCAACTGACCTCGACAGGAGTAGGGATAATTCTGCTTTCCTGCTAGGTGCTCTCAGTCAGAAGAAAAGTCTGAATTTTGATATAGATCAAAAACTGTGTGATATAGCTGTGGAGGCTACACATAAATGTAGCATGAAGGAAACAAAGGTTTCTTCAACTGATAAGCTGGAGTCTAGTTCATTATTGAAGGGACAAGGGAAGAGGAAAGATCCTTTGCAACTTGAAAAAGTAAAAATAGTTGCTTTAAACAATACAAAACATTCTGCCTTAACTTCACTCATAGATTTGCAGGCTGAGAGAGCAAAAATGAAAACCAGCCTACAGCTGAAAGGGGGAAAAATGCAACTGGGGGAAAGAGAAATGGCTGCTAGTGATGAGAAACTTGATACAAACTTGTCCATGGTTCCACAAGGAAAGAAGGCAAAGCTGAGTTTCAAGTCAAATCCACCAAACAATCAAGAATGCAATCCAATTTCTAAGGGAAATGTCTCAAATTCATCTTTGAGTCCAAATGCTAGCGGGCAGGATTGTAGGGTCCAAAGTAAAATAGTTCCGCGTTTCCTGTTGGAAGCTGAGGATAAAGGCCCAAAACTGGATGATACCAAGAAGTCTATTTCGTCATCACAGAAGAAATGTAAAAAGGCTTCAAGTCTACCAATGGTTGTTGAGATGAGAAGTTCAATTCTTCAAATTGAATTCTCAAAATTGCATGAGACAACCGATGGTACAGGGAAAAAAGGATGTTCAATTTCAGATTCAGAGTCCTGTTCTGCTGTTGATTCCTGCATTAGGGTATCATTGCGTTCTGCTATAAGTGATCTGAAGGGCATGAAATTGTCTGATCTGAGGGCCATTGCAAAGGAACAACAGCTGACAAAATACTCCAAGCTCCGAAAAGATGATCTGGTAGAAAAAATAGTAAATCGACTCTATTGTTAATATGGTTGGTTTGTGTATAGGTTGGTTCTCCATTTTGTTTCATTGTGGTATATGTTTGGACAATATCATTCTTCTGCATTGCTATATGTCTTTGATCGTTCGAATTGCTCCACCAATTACCTATGTTAAAAAAAAAAAAAAAACCAACGGTAGCAACATCTAAATGCATCAAACACGTAAGTGGGAACGGTTGTTCATGTTGATGAAGATTTATTTAATTCTATAAAAAGAACACAAGGAGGCAATTCTTTGTAAATTCCTGTTCTTAACCTCCCTTCTCTATATGTGAGAAAGACACAAATAAAAGCACTATTGATATCAAGTTTTACAATTCATTACAAAACAATTACATATCTTTCTGTAACAACTGGCTCCATATTGGGTCCTTCTATACCAATAAACTTGCCCTGCAAAAAAGTCAAGGCTGGCCAAGCAGTGAAGGCCTGTAGAATGCATGGCTCTGTGCAATCTCAATCCGTTCCCGGGGATCATTCAACGTTTCATCCCTTAGTGCTTGAAGGATAGCCTGTGATGACTCCTCTCTGGAGCAAAAACACCAGAAACCGAGCACTAATTAGCCTACCCTACATGGATGAATACTTGATAAAAGAATTAGTATATAACCTTGATATTAGTATTTTGTAGAGAGTTTTTAAGATGGGGCAGAGCTCAACAGGTGCTACTGGCTTCTTTTCTCCAGGATGCAAGACACTTAAGCTTGATTGGCTCAGAAGTTCATAGAATGCTCCCACAGCAGAGACACCCTACAAAAGGAAAGTGCAGACTCAAACTTTATTCTCTGGTGAAGGGAAATTAAGGTTGATAGATATGTAAGATTGTAGCTGAAAAGAGGGAAATTGCAATATTATACAAACGTGAAATGAACCATCTAATGCAATTACAACATGGAGAGATGAGATAACCAACAGCACCTGAATCATTCCTTTGCCACTGATGCTATCACCCATATCCCGGCTTATTTCACCCTTGGCTAACATTTGGCCATACCATGCATTACGACCTTTTAACAATGTTACATAAGTATCAGCCAGCAAAGGCCCAGCAAGCTTCTCAGGTTCCTCCGCCAATAAATGAGTAATAAAGATCATCTCTGAAGTACAATGTGCAAAATATACTGATTTACTGGTAGCACTCTCATTGGTAAGGGCTGCAACCATTCCTGTGAAAACAAATTGAAAGCAAGTATGTAATTTAACATCAAATCATAGTCTTGGCACAAAGCACTTGCATAGCTGGATGTTGCACACTGATTTCGAAAATGGTGGGTTTCTATCTATATGTATCTGTCTATGGTGGCCTCTTTTTCTTCACCACGTTATTCCTTTCTTGTCTGTGGATCTGAATGAATCCCACATCACTTCCATGACAATTAAATATAGGAATTAGGACAAACTTCATGCTCATCACATCAATTCATTATTTGTTAACTAAAAAACGAAACTTACCAGCTCCAATGGCATAGACATTTTTCAAGCCACCCATGATTTCATGAGTGACGAGGTCACTGTTATCCCAAACAATGAAATGGGGTTGCCTTAGAAATTTGGCTAGTGGTTTCCTCCACTTTTCAGCACCACATATTCGAGCGTTAGCATATTCTTTGTTATAGATCTCAGAGGCAATATTTGGTCCCCCAAGATATAGTATGTTCTCCGTAGGCACTCCAGCTGAAAGAGGGAAAGAAATCACTTGTGAAGAAAAAAAGAATGAACAGAGTAGAAATGCATTTCAAAAATAGAAATATAATTGGAGGAAGAACACTGGAGTAAAAGTATAATTGCTTTATAGGCATGCCAAGCATTTTTAGTAAAAATATAGGAGGAAGAAATCTTCCTCCTATAGTAGAAATGCACTCATGCTTAGCATGCCTAAGAGTCATGAACAATGCTTTGGAAAGTACTGCAGTTTTCCAGTTTTCCTCTCTTGAATCCAATTACATAATAAACTATGAAATGCATATCATGCTTAAAGAATGAATAGAGTAGAAATCTTACTTGCTCGATTGATCATTTGCGTTGGAGTTATTATATGGGGAACAGGTTTTAGTGCAGCCTCTATACCCTTTGACAGAGAGATGATGATAGGCACAGTTATCCTCTCCTTCCAATACTGACTTATCTCTTCAAACACCTCACAAGTTTCGGTGGAAGGTAAGCC